TATCTATCTATCTATCTATCTATCTATCTATCTATCTATCTATCTATCTATCTATCTAATCCAGACTGAAAATCAGCAAGTCCAATCAAATGTTGCTGGCTTCGGTTCTCTTCATATCTTCCCCTCAAGGATCGAAACTCGAGGTTCCGAGCGAGGAACATTGTTGTTGCTACTGAAAACGTTTGTTTGATTCATGCTTTGCTCAGCGTAAGTTGCTTCGCGACAACTTCCTCATGGTAAGGCGCTGCAGCAGGCCACGAGGAAGACTCAGCAGAAATGCCAGGAGGCCGTACACGCATGAGTGGGTCTGCTTTTAATGCACTGAACATTCTTTTTACGCATGCTGCAAGCTGACCTTTCTGTCAGATGGGTCAACCGTCTTGTGGTGAGAATATCTGTGCAGGGCTTTTAGTAGACTCTGTGATTCAAAGAGCTAGTTGCAAGTCCTAGAACAATCAGCTAACCACAGTGAATACCTAATATTACCCATTTTGTAAAAAGCTAAGCCAAAACGAAAATAGAAGTGAGTTATATTTCATGAAACATACCACAGAGGGGATGAACAAAGTGGATTTACAGATTACTTTGCTTTGGCATATACAGTACTGCAAAAATGTGGATATCACGCCCCGCAAATGTTTGTCATTCTGCAGACAAAATCACCTTGGTATTAATTTATTTTATTCATCCATTTTATGTGGTTGCTCATTCATCAAGCAACTCAGGGAAGTTACCAAGTTGAAGAAAAAAAATGCAATTCATAAAAAGAACCACATATATAACCTTGGAATCATTCAGACTAGCACATACTAATGACTATTGTAACAACCTGACCAAATGCTTTACAGAACAATCAGGACATTTAAGTTATTTCTAAAGGTTAGGGCTAACCTGGGGACAGGTCCAGCAACAGAAAAGGCACATATCCTTGGTCACATTAAATAGAACTTTTTAACAGAAGGGGCTCGAAGAGCCTCGGTAGCACAGTGGTTAGAGTGTAGTACTGCAGGCTACTTCTGCTGCCTGTCGGCTGCCTGCAATTTGGCAGTTCAAATCCCACGAGGATCAAAGTTGACTCAGCGTTTCATCCTTCCAAAGTGGGTAAAATGAGGACCCAAAATTGTTGGGGCAATATGCTGACTCTAAACCGCTCAGAGAGGGCTGTAAAGCACTATGAAGTGGTATATACGTAAGTCTAAGTGCTATTGCTATAAATCCAATTTGATCTTGTTGTGAGGCAGAAATAATTAGAGATAGATGGTCAAATATCTTGAACCCATGAGCCCATTGTTTACTCGTGCAACTTACAAAATAATGGGGTTTATATGGGTTGGGTATACCATGATTTCCTATTGCACTCTGCTGCATTAGAATAGAATAGAATAACAGAGTTGGAAGGGACCTTGGAGAGTTGGAAGGGACCTTCTAGTCCAGCCCCCTGCTTAGGCAGGAAACCTTACACTACTTCTGACAAATGGTTATCCAATCTCTTCTTTAAAATTTCCAGTGTTGGAGCATTCACAACCTCTGCAGGCAACTTGTTCCAATGATTAATTGATCCAACTGTCAGGAAATTTCTCCTTGGTTCTAGGTTGCTTCTCTCCTTGGTTAGTTTCCACCCATTGCTTCTTGTCCTACCTTCATGTGCTTTGGAAATAGGTTGACTCCCTCTTCTTTGTGGCAGCCCCTGAATTAGTTGGCCTTCTGGACTAGGTTAGGCTTCTAAGAGGTCGCCAAGGTGTACGTGATAAGCAGACCCTCCCAACACAGGAATGGGTGACACTGGCAAACAAGATGGATATGGTCAAAGGCCTTCCTAACCATAGCTGCCATATGCTCCTTGAGATGAACTGTGTTTCAGTTTTGTCTGAGGCAGCATGGACTCATTAAGAACTAGAGATGATAAGTCTTCAGGATAGGACAGCTTTAAAATCTCTCGCCCTTTGCTTTTGCCAAGACTGATCCTGGAGCATGTTCTTCTCCCTATAGATTTCCACAGAACTGAGACAGAACCTTGAGGGCATTACTTGGATATTTACCATAGAGAGAACATCCTTCCCCTTATTGTTGTATTAGGACTTCGGCAAATTTCTAACAGCCATCGTTTTACCAGTCTGGTTTTGCAGCTCTAATACCAAATTCTGATTTAACAGGTAGAAATAATAATGAATTAAGTCTTATTTTTTTACGATGGAATAAAAGTTTAGACAAATGAAAGTTTAGACAGATGAAATTTTGCTTTGACAAAATTTACAAAATAATTGTCAAGATGCAAAAACTATTAAATTAGATTTGTTTATGCCTAAGTGATAGATGCTTTTTGAAACACTGGAGAGATGATAGACTGTAGAATTTATCTTTTGGGTAGAGGTGGCGATATTCTTTTTGCTGCCAAATATGTGTCTTACATAGTTTGTTAGTAGGGTCTGTTTCATAAGAGCTGAATCTATGCGCTGCTGTGACCACAGGAAAGCTCAAGGAACACTATGGACTTGAAGCATTTTTCGTTCAGTTGGCAAATGAGAAGATGGTCTTTTTATGTTTTTATGTCAGTCTTCCAGGGGAAATCCATTCCTGTCAGTAACTCCAAGACACACGCCATCACAAAGTACTTTTATTAGAACAGTACCTGGCACATACCAGTACCCGGAATTCATTGCTGCCACATAGGACTATAAGTTGCAGATGTAAGCAGGAAAAAAGTGGCTACTGCTATACAGAAATTACGGCTTCCGCCAAACCAAGCTGCCTAATGCTAGCAGAAGTATAACTTCAGAATGGAAGCTTCAATAGGCATATTACACAGTTTCAGAAATGTGACAATTAACATTTGGGATTCCACATCACTACTGCAACTGAGGCCTGAGGAGAAGTCATATTGTATTTTCATCAAATACACAAACCTGGACTTGTTATTGAATGGGTTTTCACTCATATGGCCACATAGTGAGGACCTGGGTCTTTCAATAACTTAGAAAACTTCCACTTTGTGGCAGTTGCCATTGTCTGTAAGCTCCTAATCTTAACAGAATGTCTGTCAAATAACAGATACCCTTGTTATTATCCATTGTCAGATTAAGATTGCAACGTGCTGAGTGTTAAGATTAACACTGCTTCCTAAAATAGACACAAATAAGATGCGTGACATTCGTTCTTATGTAATTTCAATGGGTTAATTATGCTGTCAGCAAAAAAGCTGCAACTCTGTAACTCACCCTTGAAAACATTCTGTTTTCATGTCTGCTACTGAAGATTATCACTTTCAAGCGGAGCTTACTGTTCTTCAAAGGGACACCGAATAGATAATGGAAAAGTTTAGTATTTGTTTCATTTATCTCATTTTAAAGTTCTCCACATGTGATTTTCGAAGTATGAAAAAGTTATTGACCCATAGACCATCAATTCATTTAAAGTGATAACCACTTCATTGAACTATGTGGGCTATTTAAAGCCTGTCCTGCCCTACTTATTGTAAATTTCACAAAACTCTGGCTCCTTGATCTCTATGAAGTTCTGACCACATAGGTTTTTTTTTTTTTTTAAATATTATGCCTATCAGCTCTTTCCAAAGCTCTGAGATGCTACTGCTCAAATTCAGAGGCAAAATATTGAAATAACATGATTTAGGACAACAGTGAATCTTTCCAAGAATGGGTCTCTTATTAAGGAGTCACAAAGAACCCAAAACAATATCCAGAGATCAGCAGATCTCACTGGCTTTGGCTGAAGTCAAGTATTCACTATTCCATCCCCACAAAAAACACTGAATAAAAATGGGATTCAAGAATAACACATTTCTTACAAAAATGCTCGCTACTGTTACACAATTTATTTTAATTTTTCACCAGGCACTTCCCAGACAATTAATATTTGCCAATAAAGAATTTTCGATAATTAAACGGCAAGAATGAATACTGTACTCTAGACTCTAGAAAGAGTGCAGAGAAGAGCAACAAAGATGATTAGGAGACTGGAGGCTAAAACATATGAGGAACAGTTACAGGAATTGGGTATGTCTAGTTTAATGAAAAGAAGGATTAAGGGTGACTTGATAGCAGTGTTCCAATATTTGAGGGTCTGTTAAAGGGGTCAACTTATTCTCCAAAGCACGTGAAGTTAGGACAAGAAGCAATGGATGGAAAATAATCAAGAAGAGAAGCAACCTAGAACTAAGGAGAAATTTCCTGATAGTTAGAACAATCAATCAGTGGAACAACTTGCCTCCAGAAGTTGTGAATGCTCCATCATTTAGAGGTTTTTAAGAAGAGATTGGCCAACTATTTGTCTAGAATGATACAGGATTTCCTGCCTAGAAGACCTCAAAAGTCCCTTCCAACTCTGTTGGAACCAACTCTGTTACTGTCCTTGGTGTAAATTGGCGTGCATTTTGACAAGTTCATTCTTAGTAATTTATTAAACCAATATTAAAAAATCTGCAGCAAAAGTATTTCTATTTTCTTGTTGGTGACGGTGCCCACATTTCTGTGATAAAAGCTCAGCAGAAGAATGTATTGAGTGGCTGCTTGCATGTTAAATGTCCTGTCACTGAAAATCTAAGCAAAGCAAAACAAAATAAGGTAAAATTAAAT